AGAATTCAATTATTAAGGTAGAAATGAGGATTATTAATGTGATAGTAATGTCTAATTTCTCTCTGCCCTGTTCTCTATTCTGCCCCACCATCATGTGATCAATATTTATTGACAAGGCAGAGAATAGATTGTAAACGTAAGACAGGAGATTCTTGGTATAAGCATTAGAATGCTATGTTTGTATTGAAGCAATATAAGAGTGCAGAGAAATCTGTATTAGAATACTATAAAGTTTACAGTGTAAACTTTACACAGAGTACAAAACATTATTCCTACAGTAAACTAAAACCTAACTAGGACAAGACATTTTATTCATTTGGTTAAATATAAGGGGTTAAGTGCATTTCTATGTCTTTCTACTCTACCTAGTCCCTCTCCCATTTTTCTCAATCCTATAGCTTTTTATATTCTTCTTTTCAGTTAATCACTACTATGATATAGGAATGCTTTACATTTGTATGTTGATTTTGTATTCTCAAACAGTACTGATTTCTTTGCTTATCAGTGTCCTGACACATACTAAATGGTCAGATGATAGGTTAATGAGTGTTATATTTAAGGTATTAGATGTTCACTTAATTTTAGTCTCTGTGTGAAACATCTATAACTTTTCCTTAAACTAGTATGTCTTTCTTGTACTTCTCAGTTTTATTCAAAAAACATATGGTTCATCAGTTTATTCCCTCTGTTCTGGTAGGTCCACACTGAATTTAATCAAAGGACCAGGGAAAGCAGGATTGTATACAGAAAATCTGGGCACTTTATAACAAAACCGCTTCATGAAATGCAAACATTCTTAGCACATAGTCAAACAAGGAAGGACAGCTTGAGCAGGACAGCCTCTAACTTTTATTTCCATGTGCTTTTTTGTCACAGATTATATCACCAAGTGAGGAGCACTGTGATACCATAGATAAAAATAAGTTGTAATACTATCAGGTTCCAGGCTGCTGATTAGAGTAAACCTTCTCACAGAACAATGGCCAATGGACTTTGATGAGATACCCATACCCAGCTGGAAATCTGTTGTAAGATATATCAAGAGTGTAAGAGCTTTTTCTGATTTCTGTTAGTACCAGTTTTGGTTACAGCTAATGTTGTGACTTGCCAGGGAAGTGACTGTAACTTTGGCTCCACAGGAAGGATGTCACAGGAAGGATGAAGACTGAGTCATTTGAATGTCACCTCTGGTATCAGACAGTAGAAAAATAAAACAAAGAAAAAGAATTTGTTGATAAAACCATGCCTCTGTTTTCACATCTCAAATACAATAAACATTTCAATTACTTTCTCTTTTTTTCTATTTTTTTAAATTTTTTTCATTTATTCACTTTAGAGTCTACTCACTGTCCCCACCTAGTAATCCTCTCCAACAATCCTTCCCCCATCATCCTCCTTTTTCTTCTGAGCAGGTGGGGGCAGAAAACACTTTCCAGAAGATTTCACCTCAGTGACACTAGTCTCCTCTTAATCACTGTCAATTTCTTAGCTCCAGCTAACTAGCATCAATTGTTCCAGTAACACACAAGTTTCATTTTAGTAGTTTTGGTTTCTTGTAAATCACAGCTCATTCTTCCATTCCAGCTAATTAAACTACAGAATTTTTACAAACAAAAAAGCAAGAGTCCTGATAATCTTTAATTTTATTTAATCTTCCCTCTGAAATTTCACAAGCTAGGCCTTCATCTTCTGCACAGTTTTCAACATGATCTTACAAACACCTACAGAACATCCCACAGAGCTCTAAACACCCAATGGATACTCTAGTACAAAATTTCAAAGTCCTTCCAGTCCTCCCCCAAAACATGGTCAGGTTTTCATACGAATAACTCACTATACTGGTACCAACTTCTTTATTAGTCAGGGTTCTGTAGAGTCACAGAACTTATGGGTAGTCTATATAGTAAGAAAATTTTTTGATGACTTACAGTCTGTAGTCTAACTCCCCAACAATAGTCAGCAGCAGATGTGAATCGGAATGCAAGGATCTAACAGATGCTCAGTCCCACAAGGCAAGCAGTTGAAGAAGAGAGAAATTTTTTTCTATCAATATCCTTATGTAGGTGTCCAGTAGAAGATGTGACCCAGATTAAAAGTGTGTACCACCACTCCTGGATGTGGGACTTGCTTTGTCACAGTTGACATTGAACTCAGAGATCTTCTTGCTTTAGTCTCCCGGAATTCATAGCCACCATACCTCAAAATCTCCATGCCAAGTTCCAGGTCAGAAACTTGTATTTCCCAGCCACAAGATCTGGATCACAGGTGAACCTTCCAATTCCGGATAGTAGTGTACTCCAGACATAGTCAAGTTGAAAGCCAGGAATAGCCACTACAACTCCATAGAAAAATTTCTTTCCTGAAGCATTACTGAACCTTGATTTTGACCAACAAGCCAGGTGGGTTTATTTGACGGCTAATACATTCTGCTCAGCTCATAGCTGCCTGTTGTGTTTTTCCACTTGTCACCAACTCTGGGGCAGTCCTGGCCACTGAAGAGACCCAGAAACCTATCTTGTTCTACTTGTACCTTGGAGAATATTTTGGTTGTACTGGCCCCCAAACCTTGGGAGGCCTTTCACTCCCACCAAACAAGCTAAAGGTTCCTTGTTGGCTGCACCCTGGTACACAGACTGGCACTCTACAGAAATTGTAAGAATACTCCTCCCCTGAAACCAACAGATCAAAGGTCAGAAATCACATTCATTAATCTTTCACTGCTATTAAAATCTCTTATAATTTTCAAAATTTATTTCATTTTTTAGAGAACCATTACCATGCTAAAAGTTAAAGGAGTTGCATCTTTGATGAGAGATGATGTAAGTTTAAGAATAAATTTGAAAACATGCCTAGAGATTATTCTGCTTTAGTTAAATGGGTATTGTTATGTTTTCCAAGGTCCATGAACTTACTTCTTCCAGGGAGTTGGCAAGGTTTCTATTACCAGATATGATTTACCTCTCTTTTAGTAGGCCTTATATGTAATTAAAATGGTGATGGTTACCACTACTATTGCACTGCACCCTTAAAACACACTATTTTGGTCATTGTTTTAGTTCATAGGTATCATAACTTAATAAGATTTTTAGCTTTCCTTTCTTGGAATTTTACATAATATGTTAAGATACCATGAAATGTAATTATCAGTGATGACACTTGACATAATTATATTTTAATTTTAAAAAACGTTTAAACTGAAGAAAATTTAATGAAATTTATAAAATCCCTATCACAAAATATATCTATGAAAATGTAGAGAAACTAGAAATATCTTTTTAAATATATACATATATTATTTCCTATATTCCCCATAAGTAGAAGAATGTGAGATTATTTTATGGTGAGATTTTGTCTTATTATTTAACATTGTAGAGTATAAGGTAATACATTTTCCTACAAATTTGTGATTACATTCTTTGATTTAGATAGTATACTATTTTTCATATATATCCGACTTTGATGATTCAATCTATTCATCTGTTGGTGGACAGCTAGGGTGATTCTTACAGAGAGACAAAATAATGAGGATTACTAGAAAACAGCTTTTTATCCTCAGGTTCTTAGTGTCTTGCTTAAAGAACTGGAGAAGCTTATGAATAAAATAGGAAGTATTTTATTCAAAATCAAGGTCAAGTAAAGGACAGATACATTGCAAAAGAGCCATATTCCCTGAATGAAATTTACTCAATAAAGAATTTGTTCAGAAGGAAAGGTACTGGATGCTGATAGGTCTAATGTGTATGGCTGTCTGTTTTGATTGATAGGCTTTGTTTATTGCCCTTAACATTTTCCCATGATTCATCTGAGTGTAATCACATGCATGATATATCATGCATAACCATGGAATAGTAAATAAGAGATTTTTCATGAAATGTTATTTTAAGAACATTGTTTACTACACAAAGTCATTTGTAAGCTGGAATGGTCAACTATTCCTACTTCATTATATGTGTCTAGGTATATTTGGACATGCTACAAGTTGCTATGAAGCCATAGGGTAGGAAAATTTCATTGCTGTGTTTGAGGAGTGGTATGAATGGCAGCTTTATGAAGTTGTGGTTCTAGTGAATAAATGCTTTGGTTGGAAAGGAAAGTATCTGTAACTCAGGTCGAGTGGACTCCAAAATTACTAAGCTGTCCCACAATATACTTGCTGAAATTTGATTCAGCCCTTCTCTATTGTTCTATTTTGCAAATTTGTATCTTGAAACTTTCTATGGGGCTTTAAATACGTATATTCTCCACATGTTCCCACATTTGAATGCTTGGTCTCCTGTGCTTTGAACTGTTTAGAAGTTAATAGGAAGTGTATCCTTGTGGGAGGAGTTTCAGATTTCAGAAGCTCAAGTCTTTCCCAGTCTGCTATCTGCCTTGTTCTCATTAACATTTACAGATAAAACTGGAAGTTCTCAGTTACCGTCCTAAAATCGTGTCTCCCTGCCTGCTGTCCCATTTACTAACATGTTGAAAATGGGCTAATCCCCTGAAACCAGAAACGCCAAAATTAAATATTTATTTTTATAAAATGCCTTGGTCATGGAGTCCTGTCACAGCAATAGAAAAACAGCTGAGACACTTGCCTTCCTAGTAAAGACAGAAGTGAAAAACATGTAATGGAGTAAAATGTCATCCCCTCCATGCATATGATATGAGAGTTGACACCACAGCTAAGAATCATGTCATCAGGAAGCTTTGCTTTCAGTAAAAAAAGGACTCCAGATTCTAAGAATAATCTGTTCCCAGTATGTTTGACTGCCAGAGCAACAGCAACCCTAGGATCTCAGGATCTGAATGGTAGCACTCATGTCTATGTGTAACCTGTATGAGGCTGATTCCAGCTCAGAGTGTGACATATATTTAGGGCATACAAAGATTCACTTGATCCATATACAAAAACATCACATTTACCTTTATATCTCAGCAAGAGAAATAGTTGGAGCAGCTGGAGACCAGAGAAGGAGAATTGTTGTAGCCTGTGCTCTTCTGCTTCTCTGGTTGGTTTATGTCATGGCTTGAATCAATGTGGGTGGAGCACTGTAACTCTGTTGGCAGTAATAAGTTGTAATATCTTCAGGCTGCAGGCTGCTGATTTTGAGAGTAAACTGTGTGCCAAATCCACTGCCACTGAACCTTGATGGGACACCATCTTCCAAAATGTCTGCACTATAGATCAGGAGCTTAGGAGATTTCCCTGGTTTCTGCTGATGCCACGATAAATACCAGCTGATTTCCTCACTTGCCAGACATGTAATTGTGACACTTTCTCCTAGAGATGCAGAAAGGGAGGTACGAGACTGAGTCATCTTGATGTCACATCTTACACCTGAAATTGAAATTTTGAAAACAAATTCCCACAAAATCTCTTCTGTTATATATAAGATAACCTTTATAGATACCATGGATCACTAATAACACCCATCAGTATTACATTCCAATTTATTCAGTCTTTCTTACCTGTCAACCAGAGCAGCAGCAAACCCAGGATCTGATTAGGAGCACTCATGTCTGTATGTGCTATGTGCGAAGCTGACTCCAGTACAGGGTCTGACCTGCCTATGAAGAAGTCATCACATCAGTGGGCTGTGCTCTGGGAACATGCAAATAAGCAAAGGCTAGAAACATCTGCAGTCAGATCAATGACTCCTTAGGGACCTATGAGACTCTGATGGCTGAGATCAGAGAGACAGTATAGGTATATTTGTAGAGAGTATGTTCATCTTAAAAAGAAGAGCACCAGTTTATGAGTTGCATTTATTTTGATTTCTGCCTTGTTAAATGTAGAATTTCCTTATTGTATTCCCTACATGGCATAGGCTCTCAGATATAGAGGAATTCTAGGAAGTAAATAAATAATCAAATAGTCCTTTGATAGGTATCTGTAGATGTTATTGAGATGATGCAGCTACTTCTTTTTTTCTCCTATTTATTTGGGAGATTTTATTTTAATTATTTTAATTTATTTTAGTTATTGGACTGCTGGTTAAACATCCAATCCATCCATAATATATAGTAGTGTGTGATGAGATTTCTCAAAAGAAAAACACACTGCCAATAAGAGGGTTTGCTTAAATCTAATACAGGAGCTATGATTGTAGGGTGTGGTATATTTATTCACTCCTGAAGGATAAAGGGCAGTATGCACTCAGTGTGAAAACAGTACAAGCCTTCAGATCTTTCCCACAAGGAGACCAGAGGCAGAGTAGATATGAAATTCACACTCAATTTGCTTTATAGCCAATTTTTATGGTCCTGAATATGATGTGGTATAATGTCTTGACAGTTCATTTGCATAAATTTAGATCAGTATCATTTGTTGAAAATGCTGTCCTTTTTCCACTGGATGATTTTGGCTCCTTTATCAAAGATCAAATGAACATAGGTGTGTGAGTTCATTTCTGGGTCTTCAATTCTCTTCCACTGATCTTCCTGCCTGTCTCTGTAGCAATACCATGCAGTTTTTATCACTATTTCTCTGTAGTATAGCTTGAGGTCAGGGATGGTGGTTCCTCCAGAAGTTCTTTTATAGTTGAGAATAGTTTTCGCTATCCTGGGTTTTTTGTTATTCCATATGAATTTGAGAATTTCCTTTTCTAACTCTGTGAAGAATTGAGTTGGAATTTTAATGGGGATTGCATTGAATCTGTGGATTGCTTTTGGTAAGATGGCCATTTTTACTAAATTAATCCTGCCAATCCATGAGCATGGAAGATATTTCCTTTTATTGAGATCTTCTTTGGTTTCGTTCTTCAGATGCTTGAAGTTCTTGTCATACAGATCTTTCACTTGCTTGGTTAGATTCACATTAAGATATTTTATATTGCTTGTGACTATTGTGAAGGGTGTCATTTCCCTAATTTTTTTTTCAATCTGTTTATCTTTCACATAGAGGAAGGCTACTGATTTGTTTGAGTTGATTTTATAATTAGCCACTTTGCTGAAGTTGTTTATCAGATTTAGGAGTTCTCTGGTAGAAGTTCTGGGGTCACTTAAGTATACTATCATATCATCTGCAAATAGTGATATTTTGACTTCTTCCTTTCCTATTTGTATCCCTTTGACTTCTTTTTTGTTGTCTAATTGCTCTAGCTAGGACTCCCAGTACTATATTGAATAGGTAGGGAGAGAGTGGGCAACCTTGTCTAGTCCCTGATCTTAGTGGGATTGCCTCACATTTCTCTCCATTTAGTATGATGTTGGCTACTAGTTTGTTGTACATTACTTCTACTAGTTTAGGTATGGGCCTTGAATTCCTGATCTTTCCAAGACTTCTACCATGATGGGATGCTGAATTTTGTCAAATGCGTTCTCAGCATCTAGTGAGATGATCATGTGGTTTTTTCTTTGAGTTTGTTTATGTTGTGGATTACATTGATGTATTTCCAAATATTGAACCACCCCTGCATTCCTGGAATAAAGACCACTTGATCATGATGAATGATAGTTTTGATTTGTTCTTGAATTTGGCTTACTATAATTTTATTGAGTATTTTTGCATAGATATTCATAAGGGAGATTGACCTGAAGTTCTCTTTCTTTGTTGGGTCTTTGTGAGGTTTAGGTATGAGTGTGATTGTAGCTTCATAGAACGAATTGGGTAGTGTTCTTTCCAATACTATTTTGTGAATAGTTTGAAGAGAATTGGTATTAGGTCTTCCTTGAAGGCCTGATAGAATTCTGCACTAAAACCATCTGGTCCTGGGCTTTTTATTGGAGGGGAGACTTTTAATGACTGCTGCTATTTCTTTAGGGGTTATGGGACTGTTTAGATGGTTCATCTGCTCCTGATTTAATTTTGGTACATGTTATCTGTCTAGAAAATTGTCCATTTCATCCAGATTTTCCAGTTTTGTTGAGTATAGGCCTTTGTAGTAGGACCTGATGATTTTTTGAATTTCCTCAGTTTCTGTTGTCATGCCTTTTTAGTTTTGATTTTAGTAATTTGGATACTGTCTCTGCCCTCTGGTTAATCTGGCTAAGGGTTTATCTATCTTGTTGATTTTCTCAAAAAACAACTCCTGGTTTTGTTGATATTTTGTACAGTTCTTTCTGTTTCTACTTGGTTGATTTCAGCCCTGAGTTTGATTATTTCCTGCCGTCTACTCTTCTTGGGTATATTTGCTTCTTTTTGTTCTAGAGCTTTCAGGTGTGCTGTCAAATTGTTAATGTATGCTCTCTCCAGTTTCTTTTTGTAGGCACTTAGAGCTATGAGTTTTCCTCTTAGCACTGTTTTCATGGAGTCCCATAAGTTTTGGTATAATATTTCCTCATTTTCCTTAAATTCTAAAAAGTATTTAATTTCTTTCTTTATTTCTTCCTTGACCAAGTCATCATTGAGTAGAGTGTTGTTCAGTTTCCACATGCATGTGGGTTTTCCATTGGTTTTGTCACTATTAAAGAGCAACCTTAGCCCATGGTGATCTGATAGGATGCAGGGGATTATTTCAATGTTTTTGTATCGGTTCAGGCCTGTTTTGTGACCAATTATGTGTTCTATTTTGGAGAAGGTACCATGAGGTGCTGATAAAAAGGTATATTCTTTTGTTTTAGGATGAAATGTTCTATAGATATCTGTTAAATCCATTTGGTTCATAACTTCTGTTAATTTCAATGTGTCTCAGTTTAGTTTCTGTTTCCACGAAATGTCCATTGCTGAGAGCAGGGTGTTAAAATCCCCCACTATTATTGTGTGAGGTACAATGTAAGTTTTGAGCTTTAGTAAAGTTTCTTTTATTTAAGTGGGTACCCTTGCATTTGGAGTATAGATGTTCAGAATTGAGAGTTCATCTTGGTAGATTTTTCCTTTGATGAGTATGAAGTGTCCTTCCTTATCTTTTTTGATTACTTTTGGTTGAAAGTCGATATTATTTGATATTAGAATGGCTACTCCTGCTTGTTTATTAGGACCATTTTCTTGGAAAATTGTTTTCCATCCTTTTATTCTGAGGTAGTGTCTGTCCTTGTCCTTGGAGTGGGGTTGTTTCCTGTATGCTGCAGAATTCTGGGTCCTGTTTATGTATCCATTCTGATAGTATATATGTCTTTTTATTGGAGAATTGAGTCCATTGCTGTTAAGAGATATTAAAGAAAATTATTGTTGCTTCCTATTATTTTTGTTATTAGAGGTGGAATTATGTTTGTGTAGCTATGTTCTTTTGGGGTTGTTGGAAGAGTACTTCCTTGCTTTTTGAAGGTTGTAGTTTCCTTCCTTGTGTTGGTATTTTCCATCAATTATCCTTTGATGTGCTGGGTTTGTGTTAAGATGTTGTACAAATTTGGTTTTGTCATGGAAAATCTTGGTTTCTCCATCTATAGTGACTGAGAGTTTTGCTAGTTATAGTAGTCTGGGCTGCCATTTGTGTTCCCTTAGTGTCTGTATGATATCAGTCTAGGATCTTCTGGCTTTATAGTCTCTGACGAGAAGTCTGGTGTAATTCTTATAGCTCTGTCTTTATATGTTACTTGACCTTTATATGTTACTTGACTGGAGGTATTTCTTTTCGGTTCTAGTCTGTCTGGTGTTCTGTAGGCTTCTTGTATGTTTATGGGCATCTCATTCTTTAGGTTCAGGAAGTTTTCCTCTATAATTTTGTGGAAGATATTTATTGGCCCTTTAAGTTTGGAATCTTCACTTTCATCTATACCTATTATCCGTATGTTTGGTCTTCTGATTGTGTCCTGGATTTCCTGGATGTTTTGGGTTAGGAGCTTTTTCCATTTTGGATTTTCTTTGACAGTTGTGTCAATGTTTTCAATGGTATCTTCTGTACATGAGATTCTTTCTTCTATCTCTTGTATTCTGTTGGTGATGCTTGCGTCTATGACTCCTGATCTCTTTCCTACATTTTATATCTCCAGGGTAGTCTCCCTTTGAGATTTCTTTATTGTTTCTATTTCCATTTTTAGATCCTAGATGGTTTTGTTCAATTCCTTAACCTGTTTGGTTGTGTTTTCTTGCAATTTTTAAAGGAATTTTTGTGTTTCCTCTTTTAGGGCTTCTACTTGTTTACCTGTGTTCTCCTATACTTCTTTAAGGGAGTTATTTACTTCCTTCTTAAAATCCTCTATCATCATCATGAGAAATGATTTTAATTCTGAATCCTCCTTTTCTGGTGTGATGGGGTGTCCAGGGCTTGCTATGGTGGGAGAACTGGGTTCTGATGGTGCCAAGTAACTTTGGTTTCTGTTGCTTGTGTTCTTGTGCTTGCCTTTCACCATCAGGTTAACTCTAGTGTTACCTGTGCCCTCCCTCTATGCTTGTGTCCAAACTCCTCAGAGTACAAATGTCTCTGTGATCCTGTGATCCTAATATCCTGGGTAGAAGAACTCCTGGGACTCAGTCTGCCTTTGGGATCCTGAAATCCTGCTGTTCTGAGTGCTCTAGGATGGTTCAGGATATGTTGTCTTCACAGGAGCAGACCAGCTAGGTGTTCACTAGTTTGAGTGGAGTGACTCCTCTAGAATGGTTCAGGGTATGTTGTCCACCTCTCTGCTTGCAGCAACTTC